GAGTGCTTGTGGTAAGCAGAAGAGGCTTGCTGTTTCTATGGAAAAAAAAAATTATAGTGGCAGAGTGATAGCAGGGAAATGGCTGTGGAGCTGCTGTTTCTGCTTTTTTTTTTCCCCCCTCTTTTTCCTTTCCTTCCCCTGAAGATGGTCTTCCCTGCAGTCCAGCCAAACTGGTCTGTGAGGAAGATTTCCACTTTCCTTCTGTTTGGTCTTCTCAGATGCTGTGAAAAAATTGTCAGCAGGAGATTAATCTTGAAGATAGTGATTGAGATTCCCATATCTAATCTTAAAGACAAAGATCTTTCTATCCCTTTTTCTGTTAGATGGTTTATTATTCTCTGTTAGACAGGTTATTAGTAAGGCCATCCTTCAGTTCTGAGAGGTCTTCCTATACCCTTTTCTTGACATTAAATTTTTTATTAATGATATTGGGTCTGGAGTGTAGTGGCTACTCACAGGCACCCTGGCTCACTGTAGCCTCTAACTCCTGGCCTCAATCTTCCTGTTTCTGTTTGTCCATCTTCATGCGTCTGTTTGAGATGTTACTTTAGAGGGTTAAATGGTTGGGTGGTAGATGAGCTGTCTCTTTGGGATACCCAGCTGCAGTTGGCCATGTAAAGGTTCAGCTTCTTTATGATCCATTCAAAAATAAAGATATATTTAAAAGCTCATCAGTTGAAATATATTTAATATGCACAAAGCCCTTAATATAAACCTAAATAGATTCTGAGAAAAATCTATGTACTGCCATACAATTGGTTGATGTCAATAATTACAATCACAGACTACACAAAAAAAACTTGAGATTTCTATTTAGAAAGCAAGTCTATAGCCCAAACAAGAAATGACCTAATTGTCCATCAAGAGAAAATCAGTTAAATAAATGATAGTATGTTTATTCAAAGAAAGATTAAACATGTATTAAAAATAATGAGGTATATATGCCTATATAGTCATAGAAAAGTCCACGTTATAGTATTCAGTTTTTTAAAATACTATCAAAAAGCTAATATCTTTAGTATAAGTTTATCCTTGTGTGTGTGTTTTTATGAGTGAGTCATCAACTAACTCCACTTTGGCAAGTCCAAGTACCACTTTTTGTCACATACTTGATCTCAGGGTAGTATTGATACCGGATTTCTAACACTGGATTTCCAGGCTCTTGATCTCAACGATTCGATGAATGAGTCAATGGACCATAGAATGAACAGTGAGGTTTTATTTACAGCTCAAAGAACCAAACCTCCTTGCAGGGCAGGATGCAAGTGTTACAACTCTTATGAAAACAACTCTTACAAAGAGTCAAGCCTCTTTGTAGAGCAGGATCAGCAGTAGAGGTGCTACAGCTCTTACAAAGGACCAAGCCTCTTTGCAGAGGAGGGTCAGCAGTAGAAGTGTTACAGCTCCTACAAAGAACCAACCCTCTTTGTAGAGCAGGATCAGCAGTAGAAGTGTTACAACTCTCACTCCTTCTTCCTCGAAGGTCTGCAACAGCCTGCTGAAGTCTTGTTCTTCTGCTCTATCTTCCTTGAAGGTCTGCGATGATCTGCCCCCAGGCTCTCTGCTCAGGGTCTTATATAGGTGTAATAGCTTAGCTGTGATTGGTCTATAAAATGGACCGAACAGGAGCAGGATTGAAAATGGACCAATCAGGGATGGGCACCAGTGTTTTCCCTTGATTGGCAGGTCCTCTAGTGCTGCTCTACTGGAGCCTCTGGAGAAGGAAAGCTCCCCCGCTTGCTCCAGCCTGCTGGTTCCTTTGCCGGCTGCTGTCACCAAGATGAGGTGGCAGGTCCCCTCCCCAGGCCCTGCTTGGCTGAGCTGTCTGGGGCGCCACTTTTCTGGTATCAGTATGAGATACAGTTAATCACTCTTCTTTTGTCAAACACGTCTCGTTGTACTCTTGCCCCTGGGACATTATGTTCCTGAGGTTCTCTTCCTTATCCAGCTCTTTCCTTCACTCTCTGACTGACCCCTGTGAATGGAATGCTGGGTGCTGGACTCTATTTATACCTTTTCTGGTTTGACTTTCTCCCCAGGGATCTCACAGTGTCTCTTGGCTTTAAATGCTTTCAAAATGCTGTTGAGTTTTATATCTCCAGCCCTGACCCTTTCTCCTGCATTTCAGACTTATACTTGGATTTCTAAGCAGGTCTCCCAAAATTCCTATGTCCAAATAGTATTCTGATCTGCTTTAGTAAGTGACAGACAAATGAGAGTCACACTCTCCTAAAAACTGAGGTTTAGGCCAGAGTCTGAGCAGGTGCTTAGGAAAAGCACAGGCCACAAAGCATCTGAGGACCGGGCTCTCTGCAGAGGGATTTGAGAATTCCATATTTAAAGGCAAAGGCGGCTCAGGGCCCGTAGCTCAGTAGTTAGGGGCCAGCCACATGCGCCAGAGTTGGTGGGTTAAAGCCCATCCAGGGCCTGCTAAACAACAATGACAAAAACAACAACAAAATAGCTGGTCATTGTGGTGGGTGCCTGTAGTCCCAGCTCCTTGGGAGGCTGAGGCAAGAGAATCACTTAGGCCCAGGAGTTTGAGGTTGCTGTGAACTGTGGCTCCATGGCACTCTACAAGGGCAACATAATAAGACTCTGTCTCAAAAAATATAAAAATAAAATAAAATAAAAATAAAGGCAAAGGCATGTGGAAGGAAATGGGGAGGAGGAAGGTTGTGAGCAGTAAGGCAAGTGATTGCGTTCCTGTGAAGCTCTGTTTAGTGCTCAGTAAATCTACATTTTACGTAAGACAGATGGACATTCAAGATCAAGGGAGTTGAGGGAAACAGTCAATTTTGCAGTCTTCTAAGGGTGGGTGGAAGAGGGATTGATCTTCTTCCTTTTGTGACCTGCATCTGTGTCGATAATCTTATGATCAACATTCAGAAGTTTATTTAGGCTACATCCTAAAGTTATAATTGACATGCACTTGTTTTATAGGGGGCTATATATTTTGAAAGATTTTTAGGACTGAAGGAAATGAGAAATATTTTACTCTAAAATTCATTTATTTGACATATTTTGAGATAGCTGCCTGCAGAAATAATGCTCAAAGCTCCCTTGGGAGTGGGGTACAAGGGGAGAAATTTGCATCTGTAGAGAATCTCCATTAAATGAAGTCAGATTCTTGCTTATACAATCTAGCAAAGATTTACTGAGAGTCTGACCCCTCTAGGAGTCTGAAAAGAAACATCTACTATCTATTCTTCTTGAGGGCTTTTGCTGTGAGGCTTATCTACATAAGACCATCTTTGCTAGCCAGATTTTCTGTCTCCCTCCCATAACCTGTCCACCAAAAACCTACATTGTCATTATCCAAATTCTTTCCTTTCTTACAAAAAGAGGAGTTGAGTTTGGGGAGAAGGTGGCAGCACTTACATGGCTCTGTTCCCAAGCTCAGTTTTCCCTTTGGCATAATGAGTTTTGGGGTCCTGGAGAGATTTTTATTTTTGTTTCACACCTGTTGCCCTCCAAAACCTCTCTCCTCTTCCTGTACCCCTAAGCATCCCTATGTGAACTGGCATTTGTCTACCTCACTGTCTTTTGTCCTAGTCAACTTTCCCCTCCTCACTGTGCTTCAACAGGATACTCATTTCTTTCCGGTTCTTAGACACCAAGTTCATCCCTGACCCAGGGCCCTTCCCTAGCTGCTCTCTCTTGCTGGAAGCTTCTTCCTTCTGATTTCAGATGTCATTCAGACATCAGTGTCACCTCTTCAGAGAGCCCTTCTTTCATCACCATGTCTGAGGTAGCCCTTGGCCCTCAAGAGCTCTCCTTATCCTATTTTATTCATAACAATTTATTATCTGTCTCTCTAGAATTGAATCTCCATTAGAGTAGGGAGCCTAGCTTGTTAATGCTTACAACTAGAGTAACTTTAAGCAGTTCTTGGCACATAATAAATGCTCAAATTGGCTTGGTGCCTATAGCTCAACCGGCTAAGGCGCCAACCACGTACACCTAAGGTGGCGGGTTCGAATCCCCAGCCAAGACCCACCAAACAACAATGTCTGCTGCAACCAAAAAATAGCCAGGCGTTGTGGCGGGCGCCTGTGGTCCCAGCTACTTGGGAGGCGGAGGCAGGAGACTCGCTTGAGCCCAGGAGTTGGAGGTTGCTGTGAGCTGTAATGCCACGGCACTCTACCCAGGGGGACAGCTTGAGGCTCTGTCTCAAAAAAATAAAAATAAAAATAAAAATAAATAAATGCTCAAATTAATACTTGTGTTTGCATAGAAAGAAAATTTGGAAGAGTATATGGCAAAGGGTTAACAGTGGTTATCTCTGAGTTGGGGAGTAACAGGGGGGATAAGTTATGAATTCATATTCATTTTCTACCAAGGTATGTTTCAGTTAGTCTTAAATTATTTGAAATGAAATGTGTTACTTTAATAACTAGAAAATTAAAAAATGTGTTTTATTTATAAAAAATAGTAGATAACATTTTGATGGTCAGAATAAGCTATCTTTACCTGGAAGATGAATATGTATGGAACACTCTTTCCTGAGGATGTTAGGGAAGTAACATGTTACTGTACATTGTAAAATATCTATGATTTTATAAAAGCATTTCATGAAGTGACAGAAATGTTTCACTCAGTTCTTTCTTCTGAATTTGATCATCATATCTCTCTGGCAAATCATTTAAATTCATCCTTCATCAAAGGTAAAAATATTAAATTGGTTGTGTGATGAATAACTTATGCTTGTTTTTTTTTAAATGATTTTTTTACACCTGTATTAGATATGTCTTTCTTAAACAGGTTTATTTGTCCTTTTTATACACATACCAAACTTGTAATATTAGCTGTTGTCCCCAGGTCCGAATGTTAAGTCAACATGTGTTTGAGAGACTGCCAACTTATCAAGTATTGCAGGTCTCTGATTGTTTTGGAACCTCTTCTGATACCTGTGGACTTAGTTCAAGGCCAGTTAATAGCACTTTTTTTTTTCTAATAAGATGAACAAATGGCTAGTTGTTTGCTTTGGTCACTTGAGTTCAAGTTAGTGGATCAGGGTCATATATATATAAAAGTCCAGCTGAATCTCTGGTCAGTGCCATCATTATTCAAATCAGAGATTCTTCTCCTCAGAAGTTTTGCACAAGATTTGCAAAATGATGACCATGTCTTTGATCTGGGGGATTGTTGTGGCAGTGTGTTGTTGTTTATGGCTGATTCTTGGAATAAGAAGAAGGTAAAGAAAATTTTATCTTTAAATTGCTTTTTAGCTCATTCATTTAGAGTTCTTTTACCTTCATTATGTAGATACAACAGGTTTGGTTTTCTATACTTACGCACATTAGCATTCTCTATCTTAATTTTTTAATTTAAATTTAAATTTTAAAAAGGAGATCTTTTTAACAAACTATATAATATCAGCTTCCCCTTTCCATGTATATGTATTTGATGTATATAAATGGTAATGTATAAATGTTTACAATTGTTATACATAACTGAAAAATTTCATAAGATCTGTGTGTGTTTCTGTGCATATATAAAAAGGACTCCCAAATTAGTAATGATATAAGTAACAAGTCGATATCTGCAGTGGAAAGAGTTTCTTCTATCACATAAACTAAATTGGTACTCTGACTAAATATTCTCTTTCAGCTCACTCAGCCTAACTAAGCCTGGACGAGAGCAGGAAGCCTGAATTGAAAGCATCATCATTCTTGTCATTTAATGTTAATCAACTATGGTGAATTTGGAAACTGATAATTGTATGTCACTTTGATTAGATTTACAGTTAGTTCAAGAATACAAGAAATACAAATATAGTCACATCCAGAGCCATGGTTTACTTAACTTCTGGTTGGCTCAGAGAGTATTTGGATGGGAGGGCACCTAGCTACTCCCTGCCATGTCACCCTCAGAGACAACAACCCCAACAGGTCCTCAGCTACGTAGATTCTAGGAGTTTACCTTCTCCAAGTCACTTTTTCTTTTAAGGTATTTTAATTTAGGCCCGATAGTTTGTGATTTTGATTAAACCATTTATCTTCAAACTAAGAAAATAAAAGTAATTCCTTTGTGCACTATTATTTAATAAGGACATTTTAAAATAACATGAAAGAGTAATGAATTCTTTTGATCCTGCTGATGTCACTCACCTTCATTTTATAATAAGTTAATTTCTCAAATGAGATTCTCCTTTTCTTCAGCTATCATTATGAAATAATAATATCTTTAAACTTTTAGGATTTTGAGAATTTCAGTTCTGCATTCTTCTCTATTATTTAGGGTCCTATATCTTTAAAGAAAATGATCAAATATTTTGAGATACTTAGGCAAATGATGCTTAGAAAAAAATATAAAATATATACATTAAAATGTAATTTTGTTTATACACTGAGAGCAAGACTCTTGTACTCCCATCTTTGGGAGAAGGGACTGGGATATAGTATGTAAGTGCTTGTCGAATGTACGTACACAGGGATGGATGAACGGACGGATTTAGTGCTCATTTTTACCCACATATCACAGTACTAGGTCAACATAATCCATTTTGAAGTAGAAGAGTAGACCCATGCTATAAACTGCAGGTTTTTTAAGTTTGAAGTTCATAGTAAAAATTTGAAAACCTGATGTGAATAAAAAGCCAAATGTGCAATTTTGCCTATATATATCATACATTTGTGTCTTACAGGCGAAAGGGTGAACCACCTCTAGAGAATGGGTGGATTCCGTACCTGGGCTGTGCTCTGCGATTTGGTGCCAATCCTCTTGAGTTCCTCAGAACAAATCAGAGAAAACACGGTCATGTTTTTACCTGCAGACTGATGGGGAAATATGTCCACTTCATCACAAATCCCTTGTCATACCATAAGGTGTTGTGCCATGGAAAATATTTTGATTGGAAAAAATTTCATTTCACTACTTCTGCGAAGGTAACCAGTTTTGCATTTATGCAGTGCTCTGTGCGGTTCCTACCTTTTAACATACCAGCCTACTTAGTAATTTTGATGTACTCAGATTTAAAGATAGAGGTATTAAAGAGAATTATCCTTCTGTGGAGATTCTTAGGAACATAAATAAATTAGACATAGCCTCTTAAATATTAGACACAGTCTTTGCCACTAAACTTAAAGTTTGGTTAAAATATCTACAAAGAATATAAAAGAGAACTAACGACTTAAAACAATATCGATTCGCTAAAGTGCAGACAGTGTGCAAAAAAGCAGCAGCATAAGATAAAAAGTAGACGCACTGAGTGGTCCAGGGCGGTCTCACCAAAAAAGTGGAATTTAAACTTAGTTTAAAAGAAAGGTATGATTTGGCCATTTATTTGTGAAATGTTAAGAGGTGGTGTGTGGGGGGAGGCACCTGTGGCTCAAGGAGTAGGGTGCTGGTCCAATATACTGGAGGTGGCAGGTTCAAACCCAGCCCTGGCCAAAAAAAAAAAAAAGAGAGAGATTGTATGTGGAAAGGCCAGTTTCCCTTTCTTGACAAGTAGGGAATCGTGAAAGTATCTCATTTGTTTTCCAGTCTTTTACTAGTGTGAGGTTAGGTTTAACTTCTTTTTTTCACACCTTTTATTTGCTGTCAGGCATTCGGGCACAGAAGCATTGATCCGAGCGATGGTCACACCAGTGAGAACATAAACGACACGTTTGTCAGAACCCTGCAAGGCGACGCCCTGAATTCCCTCACAGAAGCCATGATGGAAAACCTCCAACTTATCATGAGGCCTCCAGCCCCTTCTGAATCACAGCTCGCTGCCTGGGTGACGGAAGGGATGTATTCCTTCTGCTACCGAGTGATGTTTGAAGCCGGGTATTTGACGCTCTTTGGCCGAGATCTTACAAGGCAAGACTCCAGAGCACACATGCTAAATAATCTCGACAATTTCAAGCAGTTTGACAAGGTGTTTCCGGCCCTGGTCGCCGGCCTCCCCATCCACCTGTTCCAGATGGCGCACCGGGCCCGGGAGGAGCTGGCCACCAGCTTGAAGCACGAGAAGCTGCGGGAGCGGGACCGCGTGTCCGAGCTGGTCAGCCTGCGCATGCTCCTCAACGACACCCTGTCCACCTTCAACGACCTGGAGAAGGGCAAGACGCACCTGGCCATCCTCTGGGCATCGCAGGCGAACACTATTCCTGCAACTTTCTGGAGCTTATTTCAAATGATTAGGTAACTAGCACCCTACCCGTTCCTTTCTTTCTTTAGGTAGAAAGCAGAAATTCAACCATTTTAAGTTATAAGTGCTACAGAAAGCGCTTACTTGATCAAGAATGTAGCGCTTACTCTTGTGTTTAACGTGTATGAGCCATTCATCCTCACAGAGACATCAGTACCTGTGACTGGCTAGCATGCTTTGCAGAAACAAAGTCCCAGAGAAAGGGACGTTCCGAGCCTCAGCGCACCATGTGCAGGCGCCAGGTGGGTTCCAGCCACCTGGCCCAGAGCCCTCGCTCTTAACCCCACAGTGTCCCAGGGATGCTGACGGAGGCCTGCAAACGCACTCTGCACAATCACAGCAATACACTGACTGTTTATGCCTCAGGGGCCACCACAGAGCAGGGCCCTTATCTTACTCACTGCTGCATCCATAGTTTGCTTTTTTGCTAAGTAATTGTTGTCTTACTATTTATTTGACCAATTATAATAGCTAGGAATCAATTGTAATCTATTATTATTGATAAGAGATTGAGATAGGCTTTGCATTTTAAAATTGCATGTAACAAAACAAATGTACACAACATATATTTTACATAGCATAATTTTTTTCCAAAGTGTTAGTCTTTGGAAATTTGAAACTAAAATGTTTTATTGGATTATTCTAATTAAATTGGATGTTTAATATCATGTAAACATACAATTACTATTCCATAGGATTGGGAATTTCCATCCCTGGCTGATGATTTTATATAAAAAATATATTAAAATTTAATTTCACATATAAAGTCCATTATTATTTTTCCACAAATGTTAAATATCTTCTAAAATTATTACTTGAGAAAGTTCCTCCCTACTAAATGCACATACATTTATTTACGGGAAGGGTATGTGTATCAATTTAATAACATACAGATAATCATAATCATATTTTATGATAGTCATGCGAGGACTTATCAAACATGTCTGAGACTAAATTTACTCTATGTAACATAGATTCCCCCTAACCATGGCACTGAAGCTCTAATAAAGTTCCGTGCACCCATATGAAGTAGCCGTCATTTCACAATTCAAAATTACAATAAAAATGGAAAGATTATTGTTCTGCCTGAAATTATGATATGATCTTTAAGAGTGAATTTGGAATTTCATCAGTCAATACTTTGTAATTGTTATCTTAGATGCCATTTTCTTTCTACTTTGCTTACGTAAGACTACTTTGTCCATATCTTATTTGAATAATTTATTTATAAAAATCTAGGTAAAGTTTCCCTCCCGTGTAGCAAAGCCCTTTTAAGGCAGCAGTTCCTGCCACTGTCCAGGGACATAGGCCAGTTACAAACGAAGTAAAAGCAAATGGGAGGGAATGTTCCTTTCCCTCTACCTTAAACAACAAGGAAAGCCACTACATGTTTGCAGATCTCAGGATATGGGAAAATAAGTTCTTTTCTTTCAACTTTCAATAGGAACCCTGAAGCAATGAAAGCAGCGACTGAAGAAGTGAACAGAACATTAGAGAAGGCTGGTCAAAAAATTAGCCTCCAAGGGAAGCCTATTTGTTTGAATCAAATGCAACTGAATGACCTGCCAGTGCTAGGTGGGTGTCCTTGCTGAGTCCTACCACCAACAGTAACAGTCAACAGACTATATTATGTACTTAACTGAGTTCTAGGCACTGAGCTAAGCATTTCATTAGTGTTGTCTCATTGAATCCTCACAACAATCCTATGACTTAAGACCGTTACTATTTTTATATACCAAGTGAGGAAACTGACACCCCTGGGGACTGAATAGTGAAACCAACTGTAGCGTTAATGTGAGATCTTGAGCCTGCCCTGGCAGCCACCACCTGGACTGCTCTCTAGTCTCCATATTCCTCTTACCACTAACTTAGGGTTAATGGAAGCCTGCTGTTTATGTTTTGTAAAACAAAGGAGGAAAAATATCAAGCAGTCACAATTAGCTGCAGGATTTGAGTGAGGGATCAAAAGCTGTTTGATTTTTCTGTTTTGCTTTTCTGTATTTTATCAAAACATGAAAGTACAATACATTTCTAGCAGGATCTTTTGTTCATTTGTTTCTGTTATTTTGTAAAAAGGAATGAAACTTATATGTACTTTTAGGGGCAGTGTGTCTTCAAAGAAGGGCGGGGGGGGGCAAGAAGCTTAAATTCCATACCAGGCCTGTCCTGGGAGACCTCTGACTTGTCACTTCTCTGTTGGGGGCCTTCCTTTTCTTATTTATAAAATGAAGGTTTAACATTCTGTGATTTAATACCCAGCCACGTGCTGAGGGCCTGACAGTGAAAGGCTAAGGCTGCACCTCCCAGGAGATCTGTGGCTTCCAGCCATTCTGTGCCCCTTTGCATGTTTACCAGGCAGCACTACCACCCAACTTCAGGTATTGGATGGGTGAAAACTGATGCTTGTGAAATACTGAAGACATATTTAATGCCTGGAAAAATATAGCTATATAAAAGTCTTATCAGTATGCTAAATCTCAAAAGTGATAAACTTTGAATTCACATACAAATGAGTTATTGATTTTTCCAATATTATGTGATGTTTAATGTCACAGAAAAATAAGATTATTTTTTCCATAAAATGTTAGAAATCGATTTCCCATTAATGACCAAGAAGATTATATATTTATCAGAAGATCATTATTAACTCAGATGATCAGGTCTGAAAACACAGTGAGACACAATTGAATTGATAATAGCATAGCAGTAACGGAGAAAAAGTTTGGGAAATTTTTATCTGAGGCTCCTGAAGTCTGTTCATCTATGTGTTAAGGGCTGCCAGAAGTATTTCAGACTCATATACTTCTGGGGCCTTCAAAACCTGATGTGTTCTTTTCTCTTTTCTTTCATTCCTTCTTTTCTTTTAAATATTTAGATAGTATCATCAAGGAATCTCTGAGGCTTTCCAGTGCCTCCTTGAACATCCGGACAGCTAAGGAGGATTTCATCTTGAGCATTGAGGATGGTTCCTATAACATTCGAAAAGATGACATCATAGCTCTTTATCCGCAGTTAATGCACTTAGATCCTGACATCTACCCAGATCCTTTGGTAAGTGACTGCTCATCAAAGTTCAGTATCTTTGTGATAGCTACCCAAATCTAAATAAAGAGGAAATTTGTAACTACAACATTGATTTGATCAGTGTAGCCATAAAGATTATCCCCTTAATTACATCCAAGTCCAGGGAAGTGGAGGCTAATGTGTTGTTTCTTCTAGCTCTGATGCAACCTTTTATTCTAGTTCTGCCGTTCTGCCTGGCAGAGGAACTAAACACCCAGGCAGGATACCCAGTGTCGTAAAGTTTTTCTCTTCCATCAGTTCTCATTAAGCTCTTTTTCCTGATGCATTTCTGTTTCAATGTAGAGTATTTGCTAAATTACTAATAGAATAAATTAAAGAAGAAAATTATTCTTTGAAACTTCCAGGAGATACATTTCTTTAAAACCAGCTTACAGGCTTGTTTTCTTTGCGTTTTATTGCAGACTTTTAAATATGACCGATACCTTGATGAAAATGGGAAGACAAAAACTACCTTTTATAGTAATGGACTCAAGTTAAAGTATTACTACATGCCCTTTGGATCGGGAGCTACAATATGTCCTGGAAGATTATTTGCTGTCTATGAAATCAAGCAATTTTTGATTCTAATGCTTTCCTATTTTGAACTGGAGCTTGTGGAGAGCCACGTTAAATGTCCCCCTCTGGACCAGTCTCGTGCAGGGTTGGGCATTTTACCACCATTAAATGATATAAAGTTTAAATATAAATTCAAACATTTATGAATATATGGTTGGAAAAAGAAAACCCTAGGTAATATTATAGTACCGCAGACACCATTACTAAACAGCTCCTCTGGACAAATGTGTTTATAGTGGTGGACATGATTCAGCAAGGCCGATTTTGCTCACCGAAGCTGGCTTTGAAGCTTACCATTTTGATAACAATTTCCAGATGCTATCTTAGACTGTGCTAGTACATAGAACTGGGTTCTAGGAGCACAGCAGTTCAGTTTTATTTATAAATCAATGAATGTTCACATAGCCAGGGACTGAACTTCATCATTTTCAGAGAAAACATCTTTTTTCTTTCAAAATAAGGGTATGTATTTCAATTGGCAGAATTTTTTTTTCCTAAGGAAAATTGCTTTATTTTTATAAAAACCACTCTACAATTATTCAAAAAGCTTCAAATTCACGTTTTAGTGAAACTGCATTATTTTTTAACTAGATGGGTGGTTTCTTCAGATGTAATCATACATCACAAAGGATATTTTGAAGGATTATATCATGCTTTTTAATAAAAAGGAAATATTTTCAGCTTTCTCTATATCCAGAATTTAGTGCTTTTAAATTGATGATCTTACTGTCCTGGAAACATTAAAGGTGGTTTTAACATTTTCTCTTTATGTTTTAATTTATTGTTGCTAGAAACTCTATGATATCAACTAACTTATCTATATTTTTGATTCCATGTTAGTAAAAAAGTTTGTTTCAGAGATTTAAAAAATCAGTTTTTCTGTCATTAATAAATACACACCATTGAAAAGAATATAGGACTTATGTGATATGTACATTTTAAAATTAAAACTGGATACAAACTACCATTTAAAACTTCAGTTATGAGACATTAAGAGTTCATTAAGTGCAGCTTGACATTTTATTTAAGTGCTTTTTATCTCCAAATGATTTGCAGTTAAAGGAAAATAGATTAAAGCCATAGACGTGTTTGCACACTGTGTTTAATAATGCTTTGGTAGGCTCGGCGCCTATAGCTCAACCGGCTAAGGAGCCAGCCACGTACACCTAAGGTGGCGGGTTCGAATCCCCAGCCCGGACCCACCAAAACAACAATGACGGCTGCAACCAAAAAATAGCCGGGCGTTGTGGCGGGCGCCTGTGGTCCCAGCTACTTGGGAGGCAGAGGCAGGAGACTCGCTTGAGCCCAGGAGTTGGAGGTTGCTGTGAGCTGTGATGCCATTGCACTCTACCCAGGGGGACAGCTTGAGGCTCCGTCTCAAAAAAAAAAAAAATAAATAATGCTTTGGTAAAATAGTTTAGGTATTAGAGTGGCAAGCCATGATATTTTAATTGACATTTTTGTATGTATTTATATGTAAATTATATTTACCTTTTTCTTGTACTACAGACATTAAGAAAACATTCCAATGCATTTTGAAATGATTCATGTTTCAGAAATGAAAGTATGAATGTATACGCTTCAAATTGTGAAATATTCAGAATGTTTAGCTTACCACCTATTGATAAGCTAAAATAATTTTATCCAGAATTCAAAATAATTATATTTTTGAATATTTCAAAAATAATCAAAGTAATCATTTATTCAACCATCTCCCTCATACTATGTACAATTCACTTACAGTTTTTAATCTTGCTATTTATTTTTATTTTTTTTTATTTTTTTTGAGACAGAGCCTCAAGCTGTCCCCCTGGGCAGAGTGCCGTGGCATTACAGCTCACAGCAACCTCCATCTCCTGGGCTCAAGCGAGTCTCCTGCCTCCGCCTCCCACGTAGCTGGGACCACAGGCGCCCGCCACAACGCCTGGCTATTTTTTGGTTGCAGCCGTCATTGTTGTTTGGCGGGCCCGGGCTGGGGACTCGAACCCGCCACCTTAGGTGTACGTGGCTGGTAATCTTGCTATTTAAATAGGTTTTTTTGTATAAAGAAAATATAAATCATTTAGATGTGTTTCAAGATCAACAAAATTCTGTTTTATGGCAGACTATTATAAACTAAGCTTCTGAAGTGTTTCCCTAGTAGACTGTTTGACTTTCTGAATGCATCCATGCATCTCTCCATGTCTTTATTTTTGGATACCAAGATTTGCCAGTTGATAGCCCACAGACCACAGTTGCCCTCCTTTGTACAGCCTGAACACTAAGAATGGTTTTTACACTTGTAAATGGTTGGAAAAAATCAGAAGGAGACTGTTTCATGACATGAGAGCAGTATATGAAATTCAGATCTCCACACATAAGTAAAGTTAAATTGAGACACAGTGTGCCCCTAGAGGCGTTATTCTCAATGTCTGCACGGGTGGGGCAATTACAGAGCTGAGTAGTTGCAATGAAGACAACATGGCCACGAAGCCTAAAATATTTAAAATGTGGTCTTTTACAGACAATGTTTGCCAACCCCTACTCCACAGCAATCTCAAAAGGATATATATATTTTTTGAAACAGCGTCTCACTATGTCACCCTCAGTAAAGTTCAGTGGCATCATAGCTCACAGCAGCCTCAAACTCTTGGGCTCAAGCAATTCTCTTGCCTCAGCTTCCCAAGTAGCTGGGACTGTAGGCACCCACCACAATGCCTGGCTATTTTTTGGTTGTAGTTGTCATTGTTGTTTAGCTGGCCCTGGCCAGGTTCAAATCCACCAGCCTGGGTATATGTGGCTGGCGCCATAACCACTGTGCTATGGGCACTGAGCCTCAAAAGGATATTTTTACAATAATTTTATTAACTTAAAAAAAATTCATATACCAATGCATCTTTTTAACTAATGAACGTTTTTGAAAGAAGTCTCCTGAAAACTAATAAACAGAATCCTTTTTTAAAAATTTCAGACCATTATTATTATGGGGATACATATATTTTGGTTACATAGTTTGTTTTTATGATTAAAGCCAGAGTTAAAGGCATGTCCTTCATACCAAGTGTGCAGTATACCATGTGATGCGTCTGTTAGGTGGGAATTCACCCATCCCCTTCTCCCCTTCCACACTACTCGAATGTCACTGAGTTTTGCTTCCCTACAGGCATATAGGTTGTTGATCAACTTGTTCCAAGTTAGTACTGAGTGAATGTGGTATTTGTTTTTCCATTCTCGTGATACTTCACTTAGGAGAATGGTCTTCAATTCCATCCAAGTTGTTACAAAAGATAACAGATCTCATCTTTTTATGGATGAATAATATTCTGCGGTATACAGATACCACAATTTATTAATCCGTTCATGTGTTGATGGGCAGTTGGGCTGTTTCCACATCTTTGCAACTATAAAGTATGTTCCTATAAACATTTGAGTGAAAGGGTCTTTATGATAAAATGTCTTTTTTTTTTCCATTTGGATAAATACATAGTAGAGGGGTTGCAGGATCAAATGGTAGGTCTACTTTCAGTTCTCCCAGGAATCTCCGTATCACTTTTCATGGAGGTTTTACTAGTTTGTGAGTTTCTTTCTCTGCACATCCACACCAGCACCTGTTGCTTTGGGACTTAGTGCTGTGAGTTATTCTCATTGGCATTAGGTGACATCTCAGTGTGGTTTTGATTTGTATTTCCCTGATGATTAGAGATAAGCATTTTTACAAGTGTTTGCTGGCCATTGGTCTATCTTCACGAGAAAACTTCCTGTCCTGCCTTAAAACCACATATCTGTCAGTTATACCCTTTATTATACAAATGCTAGATTACATAAATTTGTATTATTAGATTATACAAAGAAAAGGTATTATTGAGCAAAATGCCTTTACCTAAAATCACTTAATTTTATGTCATTCATAAAGTAGGAAAAGATGTTTGCTGTACTAAATGAAAATATTAAAATGTGTACCTTCCAATAAATGATCTCATGTACTTCTCACAATAATCCTATAAAATAGGCATTATAATTGTTCTATTGGACAGATAAGGAATCTGAGGCATAGAGACACAGATAAGGAATCTGAGGCATAGAGTTAGCTTGCATAAAGTGATACAGTGTGTAGGTGGTAGAACACAGATTGGAATCTAGCAGTTTAGTTGCAAAACCTATATTATTAACCCACTGAGCTAATTGAAGGTCAAGGTCTTTTAATGATATTCCCTAGATCAAGCCACTATACAGCATCAGAACTGAGATACAAACCCTCTCTTGTGGTTTTAGTTTTATTTATTTACTTTAGAGACAGAATCTCACTTTGTCACCCTTGGTAGAGTGCCATGGCGTCACAGCTCACAGCAATCTCCAGCTCTTGGGTTTAGGTGGTTCTCTTGCCTCAGCCTCCAAGTAGCTGGGACTACAGGTGCCCACCATAATGCCCAGCTATTTTTTTGTTGTTGCAGTTTGGCTGGGGCCGAGGCCACCCTGGGCATATGGGGCTGGCACCGTACTCACTGAGCCATAGGCACCACTCTAGTTCTTTTTATTAAATCAGGTTGATACCAATAAAGTTTTTAGGTTAATCAGATATCTTTAGACCACTGAAAACTCTAGTAGCATTAAAAGATAAATACTTCCAATAATTAAGCATATGCTCAAATATAACATACACTTATCTTTCAAAGGAATTAACAAAGATAACCTCCCCTCCTCGAATGTCAATTTCTGATTGAATAGAAAATTAACTCAATATCTAAAAAGTTCAAATATGTTTGTGTCTACACTTACATCTACAACTACGGAGAAAAGAATATCTGATTTTCTGCAGATAAACTATTCTCTTTTCTTCTCGATAGTCTCACAAATATTAAAATTGCTTCATATTACATTAAGCTTAGTTCTTTTTTTTTTTTTTTTTTTTTTTGCAGTTTTGGCTGGGGCTGGGCTCAAACCCACCACCCTCAGTATATGGGGCCAGCACCCTACTCCTTGAATGACAGGCACCGCCTTTTTAAATTTTTTGTAGAGACAGTTTCACTTTATCCCCCTTGGTACAGTGCTGTGGCATCACACAGCTCACAGCAACCTCCAACTCCTGGGCTCAGGCGATTCTCTTTCCTCAGCCTCCTGAGTAGCTGGCACTATAGGCGCCCACCACAATGTCTGGCTATTTTTCTATTGCAGTTTGGCCAGGGCTGGGTTTGAACCTGTCACCTTTGGTATATGGGGCTGTCGCCCTACCCACTGAGCCATAGGTGCCGCCCTAAGCTTAATTCTTTTAGATCACCATTTCCTCTGTTAATTGAATAGATCTTTAGCCTCTACAGGCAAGTATCTTTACCTCTGAGCTGTGCTTTGTATTCTGTTATGACAAGACTCTTTTCATTTAATTTTATTTTTTTCCAGGCAACATAATTTTGTACATAGAAAAGAATTAAAAGTGAGTCAACAAGATCACTGGATTAAAGTTCAATATACAGATATCCATTGTATACCATTAACAATTAGAGAATTAAG